AATGTTAAAATAACCTTAATGATGTAATACATATAAATCGAAAGTCTATACTGTTACTCGTATAACAAAAAAACTATTTTTAAAATTTTTGTCTGTCTATTTGTTCTGTAATTTCCGATACGGCTTGACTGATTTGGACGGGACTTTCACTGACAGTTAACCGATGTTATAAAAAGTAACGTAGGCAAGTTTTATTTTAGAAAAATAATGGGATTTCGCGCGAAAATTTTTAAAACCCATGAAATCCAACCGTAATGAATTCCATACGGGCGAAGTCCCGGGGAACAGCTAGTTTCATAATAGGCGAGTAAATCGAGTGCAATCACAGCGCGCTCCAATGAAATTGTTAATTACAATTTGCCATTGCTGATTCACCATGCGCTCAGCGCTGAAAAAAAAAACAACGCCAGGAAATCTGCATGTATGGAATATTGAAAAAATTGAGGACATGTGAAGTCTGCAACAGCGCATTGGTGCAGTGCAGCTTAATATAACCTCCTTCAAAATCGTCTGATAGGAGGCCTGTGGGTTAAACTATAGACATACGGTACTCGCGTACGGTGGTGGTAGTGGGAGGGGCGAGGAGGAGGGTTCAGGGGAAGTCTTCCCCTAACCTTCCCCCTTTGCGAAAATGTATAGTTTATGTGTAATAATGTTTTTTGTAAAATCATAACCTCACTTTTTTACACATGAATATTGACACAAAGTTACTTCTGCAACGGCTTCGGCACTGCGGGAAGTGTAGCTCCTTTGCCCTTGCGTAGCTAATCACAGGCCCATGTTCGCCTTTGCAGCTTCGGCTTATTGGTCCACTTTATTGTACCAGCCTCAGCTGCTACGGCTGACTCAGGGGCCTGCGATTTGCTACAGCGGACGAGGGCTGCTCTCCCTCCGTGCCTACGGCTTTACAAAAATACTCTAGGGGTAGGGCAGACAAGACTACGCCGGGGCGTGCTAATTCGGTTTAGAACCAATTCGATCAATCGTATCTATAAAGTCAGGTTGCCCTAAATTCCGCTATGATAGTGGTAAATGAAATAATGTAATGTGAATTGTTATAATTATTTTTTCTGAAAAACCTCTTGACTGCTCTCCACTGCGACTCAATTTGTTATAATATATATGCGTCCCATCCACAGCCACAGAATGGATTATCTGGGTCCGAGTGATTAACTTTTTTATGAGTTTATCTGTGTTAAAAAATTGACATATTTGCGTTTCGTTATATGCAATTTTTAGGGAAATTTATTTTTATCGTAATTAATTCAAAAGGCATTTCCGAAATCCAAAAACAGTGTAACTAAAATGTTTGAGCTTAAGGGGAAATATAACCTCAAATGGCTTAGCAAGATCCTCCCTTATGCCGAAAGTATTGCAGCATTAATTTTAAAATAAATATATGGTAAAGTTGAGGATTAATGTTAAGGACTATGATAGACGAAAACACGATTCCGTAAAATTATCTCGATAGAAAAAAAATCCAAAATTACCTCCAAACTGAACAATAAACCGCTGTTATTCATAAAATACTTTAAATAAGATCATGAAACTTTGCATACTAACTGAACTAACTATAAAGCAGTGCTTATGTTATTTACTTTTTTTTAAATACCATTATTTTCACTGTAAAAAGAAATTACCTAAACTATCGGCGTCTTGAAGTGATTCCTGTCGCCCCGTTAGTATCGCTTAGGCTTTTGAAGCTTCGATCAATAATATTTTTGAAGGGAGAAGTTGTGTCGCTTACGATCAGAATACACATTACGCAACAGGACGACGTAAAATTAAAATGGGAAATAACCGTAATAAAAATAAGAAGCGACTGGGTTGGCGTTAAGAAACAGGCATAAATATGATAAACCTAATGAAATAAGTATCTAAAACGACCTATCTACTTACAGTATTAGTGTTACAAACATGTCGGTACATAGCATACGACGCGCGGGGCAGTGGGGGCGAAATTAGAATTTGAGCTGACTTACTATATCCCCTAACCCTTTAAAGCAAACTTCCTAAATTGAAAAAAAAAATTAAAAAATCAAGTACCGAACGTCTACGTTATAATACGAGAACAAATTGAAAAATTTGCGTTTCGTTACAAGCAATTTTTAGTGAAATTTGTTTTTATCATAATTGATTTAAAACGCATTTCCGACAACCGAAAACAGTGTAAATGGTAAAGGGTTTAACCCTGACAAGCCTCCTAAACTGAAAACATAATTAAAATCAAGTACCGGAAATCTATAGCCAACCCGGCCTGTGCGCAGCACTGCGACGTAAATAAGTGGAATAGGAGGAGTTATCTTGTCCCGAGGAGGGCGGCCAGTGAAAGTGAGACCGCGGATGTATGCTAAAGCGTTCCCGTAGCTCTGGCTATATGCAGCAAAAGTAGAACGCCGTGGGGTTTTATTCGGAACGAATCCTTGTTCACGCGAGGTGAATATGCTTATGGCTCGGCCACATTATGCTCCCTCGCGCTGCTCATCGCTCTGATCATCAATCACCCAGCTCATTGCTCTGCTCATCGCTCTGCTCCTCACGCTGGCATGATGTTGCCCTGACTGCACACACTGCTCTACTCGCGCAATTAATTGCGACCCTCCTCACTAGGTCGCTCACGTTTGCATCAAAATGGATGTTTGAAATTGTTGCAGCGTGAGAACTATGCATATTTTATATAACTAATTATATCGATGTCATAAAAAGAAATAAACGTTGTCGTCGTCGAGATGGCTTTTTCTCTGTATATTATTTCCTTATGTGTTAATATGGCTAAATGATGATGATAGACACTATAAATGATTTCTAAATGACACGTGATGTGCTTCCGTAACGAGTGCTCGACTCGGACTGCGGTTCGCGTGCAGTTTTGCCAACATTAAAATCTAGCTCCCGTTGTAGAGAACACTATTATCCCGTCAAGTACGGTAAAGAAGTGTCAATCATTCATTTCCAGTGACCGAATAATTCTAGTACATTTTGTCACGCATACTAGTACATTCGGATCAATCATTCAAATGGATCCATTACTCTGTTGAGTCTGTGAGATCCATTGGGAACCGAACATTTTCTATTTGAGATTTGTAATAGCGCCATCTACTACATGCTATAGGTAATAAAGTCATTTTATCGAACTAAAACTTATTGACTTTCAAGGATATCACAGGTTCACAGGATATGCGACTCAAACAGTAAAGATAGAGAATTAAATAAATAGAGTAGTTGATAGTTTTCTATATATTTCATAGTAGCGACACTTTTTGCCGATCAAAGACAAAACTGTTTCCGAGCTGTATTTAAAAGAATTACGTCAAATGAAAATTTTATCTCTCAACTTTTTAATGATAAGAATGTATTGCTCATTTTTTCGTATTTTTAAACTAAAAATGAATAAAAAAAACAAATTTAAAAAGACATAAATTTTTGTTGCCCCGTAAAAAAATCCGTTACCCGTTAAACACATTTTTTCCCGTTGCCAACCTCGCTGTTCCGTCAAATCTAACGGGAATCCCGTCAAGTTGGCAACACTGTTCGCGTGAGTTATGTGAGTATGTGGCCAGCCACTCGCGCTCATATTGCCAGTCCTTTGACTCGTGCCCAAAAAATCGACAAAACAGGGAGCGACGGGCGTGACGAGGAGCATGATGTGCGGTATGACGAGTATTGTGGCCACACACTTTCGGATGAGCTAAACACTTGAAATTTTGAACATAGCTCAACATCAGATGAAAATGTAAGAATATCGAAAAAAGAGAACATGGTATATTAATAATTTATACAGATAATATTATGATTTATAAATTACTTCTAAACAACACGCTTACTGACTCCCTTAAGAATTTATGCCCGTTTTTAAAACTTCGCACGAAGGTGGACTTACTCGCATGTTTGGGGTAAGTCTGTCATCAGGTCGTTTTATTTAGAAATAGAAAGCTTTTAAATACCACGTATTAGGTAAAGACGTTAAGGTTAATGTTAAACAAATGTATGGTATCAGGTCATGGCTATTAATTAGCTGTCTCAATTTATTAGAGCAAAATGATTAAGGTGACAAGGCCGTTACATTTTTTTGCTTAGAAGTTGTAAACATAGGCAAAGCAGTTTGGAATGTTTTCAACGGACAGTTTAATTTAGATGTTAATTAGATTGTTTAGATGTTGTAGTAGATATTAAGAATTGTATACGTGTCTTTGTACAATATTTATATTAATATTTATAGTATCATAAATTACTTCTTATAAGTCATAAACATTAAAGGCAAATTCTTACAAAAATAGGTCTTTATAAAATCGAAAAACATCTTTAGACACGAAACTATTACAAATTGCAAACACTTTATAAATAGAGTTTTAGGAATAACAAAAAGTGAGTTTTTTTAATACTCAATAATAGCACATTGTAAATACTTAGAATAAAATTAGTAAAAGAGTATCTTCTTAATAATTTTGTAAATAATTAATAACAGTAGAGTAGTCTTTAGAAATCAACGAAAATGACATCCTCATATATACATTTTTTAAATAAAATAAGGGTGAAAAAATATATAGTATAAATAGTGCAGTTTCAGTGACACTGCCATAGTCGTAGCTATTTATAAAAAGTACATAACCACGTGTACGAAAACGTCACACTGACGGACTTCCGCACCAGACATTACCTAAACTAAAATGGAAAAAAAATTTGCAGCCGCTAGGGTTAAAATGTAGTTCACCCTCATCAATAATTAGAATAATACAAATGTGAATGGGCCAAACGTAATTTTTATACTTATCGATACCCTTGACTAACCCGATATACAGATTAATCCAATTTTTAGAATTTCGTAATTTTGTGGTTATATTTTGGTGACAGTTTATTTTTTCAGACATCATTTATAAAACTAACGTTCGGGTCTTGGCCCCCCTCCTTTTGCTACGTCACTACGATACACTATGAATGCGTTTAAATGAGATGTTACATTTGACATTAAAAATTAAATGTATATTATTTTTGGTTTCCAGAACCTTCACATCCAAGAGCTTCGAGAGCGATCCCTGGACTTGCATCGGGATATAGCGTCATCGGTGCACGAGTTAGGCGTCGAGTCGGACAAGGTGGAGGATTATGTACTTCCAGGCGGAGTGCCTCTATTTCCGGACAAAATTGGCGAGGACGGTTATTTAGGGAACAATAAAATTTTAGGTAAGTGTAAGGATTGCAAAGGATCCATATCACTTGACTGCCTCGTTGATCTAGATTCTTTCTTCTCTCTCTCTCTCTCTCTCTCTCTCTATTTTATCTCTTTTCTCTCTCTCTCTCTATTTTATCTCTTTTCTCTCTCTCTCTCGTTGGTCATAAACACGATTTTTTTAAAATTATTCTAAGGCAGCGCTTAACTACAATACCATCTGATGGTAAGTGATAACGCAGCTGAAGACGGTGAAGTGCATTGACCTAAAAAAAAGCCTATTCACTCTTGTCCTTGAACTTGAGGACACCACATTGTAATCATATGTAAGGACAGATGCTGGCAACTTATTCCACTCCTTTGACGTACGTGGGAAGAACGATGGAGCAAACTGATTAGTTTAAACGCGTGGTAAGTCGACAATTAGAGTGGAGACTGGCCAAACGTCCTGATTGCTGACCATGAATTCCTCGGTTAGGCCAAAATCAATAAGTTTTTCTACCAGGAAGCTGGCGGTGTTTTAACCTCGTGCCTCGGAAAGCACTTAAATCCGCCCTGCGCTTAATGTCTCTCCGGTCTTGTCGGTTTACCTTTTTGTCGGAATAGACACTTGTGATTGCGCATACATTTTGGCACGATTATCCTGCCCTGCGCAAATAGCCAATCGCCGCTGAGACTGACCGACGTGACTGAAAATCGGTCTGGAGGACATTAGGCGACTATGGGTCATGCCTAAAATAAACTTTGGGCTTCCGATAGATGGCGATATAATCATCTTACACCAGCAGCAGTATCAAATGTGCAATGCTCACGTCAGGTATAATCACAGATTACCCCTTTAGGGCCTCCCCCATAGATTGTCCAAGAGGGGGATTCGCCATAGTTGACACGCTTGGCGAGCGGGTTGTCAACTAAGAGAGCGGTTTTTTATCATTTTGAGTTGTTATCAGGCAGACGCTGCTGCCCATCCCTTGTTTCAAGTTCCCTCTGTCGCCTCTTACGACCCTACGGGACGATATAGAGTAGTGGATATTCTTACACCGCCACTACACGCTTTACGGGCAGATCTTGGCTTAGCTATTGACAACATCCTCAGTTGGCGACCGCAGAGCAAAACGGTCACTCACATTCTGCATTATCTGTATCGTCTCAAGAATTTTTTACCGATAGGGACTAAGGTCATGTTAAGTGGAAATATAACCTCAAATGGCTTAGCAAGATCCTCCGTTATGCCGAAAATTATGCAGCATTAATTTTGAAATAAATATATGGTAAAGTTGAGGATTAATGTTAAAGACTATGTTAGACGAAAACACGATTCCGTAAAATTTTCTCGATTTTCTATCGAGTAATAATCCAGAGTTACCTCCAAACTGAACAATAAACCGCTGTTATTCATAAAATACTTTAAATAAGATCATGAAACTTTGCATACTAACTGAACTAACTATAAAACAGTGCTTGTGTTATTTACTTTTTTTTAAATACCATTATTTTCACTGTAAAAATAAATTACCTAAACTATCGGCGTCTTGAAGCTTGATTCCTGCCGCCCGGTTACTTTGGCTTTTGAAGGGGGAAGTTGTGTCGCTTACGATCAGAATACACATTACGCAACAGGGTGACGTAAAATGAAAATGGGAAATAACCGTAATAAAAATAAGAAGCGACTGGGTTGGCGTTAAGAAACAGGCATAAATATGATAAACCTAATGAAATAAGTATATAACTACCTATCTACTTACAGTATTAGTGATTACAAACATGTCGGTAGATAGCGGGGAAGTGGGGACGAAATTAGAATTTGAGCTGACTTACTATATCTCCTTAATACAGACTCGAGTGTTGCCTATTTTAGATTATGTAGATGTTTGCTACGCTGATACCTCTCAAGAACTTCGACCAAGCTGGATCGACTTCTTAATAATTGTATACGCTTCATTTTCGGTTTACGTAAATATGACCACATTTTCTCTTATCGTTCTTAGCTTAGATGGCTACCTCTCCGCTATCGCAGATATTTCAGAATACTGTGCACATTATTTTCAGTTTACATGATTCGTTTGTTCCTGTATATCTGAAATGTAAATTTCAGTATCAGGGTGATTCTCATAATCGTTGTCTCCGTTCTGCGGAAAAGTCTAATCTCCATGTCCCTCTCTGTCACACTAGCTTCTTGTATAAATCAAACTTCTCACGCGGTAAGATTGTGGAACGAGCTACCGAGTAGTGTACGTGCAGCCACGAGCAAGGCATCGTTCAAATGCTTGCTCTGGAATCATTTTCTGGAGTTGCAGGAGTATTTTGTGGATTAAAATTTTTATATCCCTAAATTCTAACTGTTCCCTTATCCTGTTTTTATTTGAAATATTTATATTCAAATTTAGATTCAAACAAATCAGAAACAGCTATATTTAATTATGTATGTACTATATATGCATATATACACAGGCAGTATTAAGCAAATATATTAATATATTTAAATATCTTGTATGTATATCTATATAATAATATATATGTGTAATTATGTTTATAACATGTATCGCAATATGAAATGTGTATGACTACTCATAGATATTTGAACTCGGTTGCACTTTGTACCCACAATATCTTCTCTGCTTTGCCTGGAGGTAGACTGGTAGAGAATGCCTTGTTGCATTAAGTTTTTGTACTTGGTGTGCAAATAAAGCATAAATAAATAAATAAAATAAGCTAATATACGTGATAAAATGAGCTAATATACGTGATAAAATCCGTAAAAACATGTTTGATGCCGTTAGAGAATTCATCACTCTATCACGTTCCGTAGGTGTCATAATTAGGGCGAGTAATCTTACGCTCAACAGATGTCGCTAGTTGTTACTAAGGTTAGGGCTGCCATCCGTCCGGGTTTCCCCGGATTTGTCCTAGTTTGGAAGACGTCCAGGGAGCGTCCGGGCGGGGTTTAAATTGTAGTCCGGGTGTAATCCGAGCTACAATAAAAGTTCGGGTTTTCGATCAGATCCCGTTCTCATAATTTATGTGAATAAAGGCTTGGGTAAGGTATTTCACCACACGCGCTGCCGATGCTATTTTACTACGCGAGCGGCCTCTGCGTGGAATTTCAACTTTCTAAAGGCAAAGTCAAAATTATTTATTCATAAATTTTTATTTCATTAAACAGCAGTTTTTACTAAAATAGGTCATAAACATTTTGTTTTTAACACTATGTCCGTTGAGAAAGATGCAGTGGAGAACAGACAAGAAACTCGAGGTTTGTTCTTTTAAAAACTGATCTTTCCATATAGTTTTGTCACATAATCGTAGCCAATCTACATTTATGTAGTGCTAGTTTGTTATTATTTCCAGTATTAAAGTCATGCAGGTGACTATTTGTGATAAATTGATGTAGATTCTGACGAACGTAACATTATGTTAGTAAAATATATATTGATGGTACTGTCATAATGTTTCTGCTTAAACAATTCTAGGATTTCGGTCGGGCTTTGATGAATCAGTGAGTGAGTCCTGCAATTTAATATACGGAGAGTTTTCTTAAAATTCTAAAAAAATAGGATATTTTCTATTTATTGTTTATTTAAATGTAAGTTGACCGTAAATTGTCTGAAAGACAGTAACTGACACTAGTTTTTTTTTTAAAGAGAACTACCGTATTCGTTTAATTGGTTTACCATAAAATTCATAAATACTATTTAAGTTTTAATTCTGTCTAATCTATTTAAAATTTGAAGGAATTTTAATGTTATTGCTTTAATAATTGCCAAATAATTAAAAACTATATGTAATTTTCTTTCTAATTTAAATGGTTTACATTGTTCTATGAATGTAAACAACAAATTGTGTTTTGTTTGGCTGTAATGTATAGAAATAAACATGTAAGATTGCTAAAAAAAGTAAAAATGTATGGTTTTTTAAGTTTTACTTCTGATTATAATCTATTTTAAAATTTGAGGACATTTTGATGTTATGAAAGTTATTAAGAACGATTAAGCATACAATTTCGTGCAACAAAAGAGGCTTAAAATTAAAGTTTTTTTCTATAAAGTACAGAGTAGGTGTAAGTGAATGATAAAAGTATTCAAATGTCCGGGGTGAAAGCTCCAAAAGCCGGGGAACTTACGCTTCCGGTCCTGGTGGCCAGGTTTTAGAGATGGCAGCCCTAACTAAGGTGAATATATTTGTTACGCAGATAGTCACATAGTGTCATTATCATTGAAAAGTTGCGATTTAGTTAGAACTTTTTCGCTTTCTAGTGTATGTTTAACACAAAACAATGGGTGAGTGCTATCTTTTAATTATATAAAAAAAATTATTTGTTTACTTTTAAGCATATAAGTAGTATAGTTTATTTATTTCTAGTCTAGTTAATATTTGTAATATAATTAAATTTCACGGAGATAAATTATATATTACTAACAAATTAAGTTTCCCCCGCTTTGAAATCTGTCTAATATATCAACTCATTCCTAAATGACGCCGCTTTGGTGGCAGAAAAATTCGTGGATGTCTTCGCAGGCTTATGGAAAACCCAGAAAGACTTCAAGACTGTCGATAGATGGCGTGATAACCTATCGGTTTACGCCATTCTTAAAACACATAAACGGGTCCAAGGCTTCCTTGGGTACTTACTGTAAGGGCAAAGTTTAAATAGTTCTAAAAATTTTTTTTAAAGGTATGATTCAAAATTTTTGTTTTTATTTTTTGTAAAAGATCAGTGCCATAGGCTTCTACTCCGTGTAGACTCCGTTCACTTGTTACACCCTATTATTTTACAAGGCGGCAAAAAAGGTCACGCAGTATAAGCAAATGCACGCACTGCTGTTTGTAAATAGGTAAGAAGATGATATCTCCCCAGATCGATTCCTAGACAGAAAAAATGTAGTCGTAAAACTAAGTGGGATAAACAAAAACATTGGAAAAAGCATAATAAAAATTTGTCTATAATGTCTTTACTCGTGACTCACGTAATCCTTTATATTTGTTTGACCATTCCAGGTGCCCCGATAGACTTCAACAGGTATAAAGCGGATGACGTAGAGGACATTGTGCCATTCGACTTCATCAGCAAATCGATCTACTCTACCAGTCACTTGAACCCTAAGAGAAGGATAGAAGCCCCACTGAAGGAAGCACTCGACGACGTTATAAGAGAAGTGAGTTGAAATAATTAGATTCTTTGATATGGTTCAATATATTTGTACTTTGACATTCGGAATTCCGTGACAGCCTTCAAACTTTTGACACTTTATCCAGCCAGCTCTTAAAAGAATATTATGTAAAGTATTAACAATAATCGTTTTAAGGCACTGACCTCTATATATATGTATATATAGAGGTCAGTGTTTTAAGGCGTGTAAACATTTTTGGAGAGCTATGGCACAGATTACATAATCGTCACTACGGCTGTAAAGTACGTAGCTCAGGGGGCTAACCTTGAGTTTTATCGCCCTATAAAATCGAAACTAGGAGGAGGACAGAGACAAAAACACAAAGTTGTACACTATAACTGATATATTAAGAAAAAAATAGCAAACAAACTTTGGCAATAATTAGAAACACTTCGAAAAATGAGTTTAAAAAGCACTTAGGGTCGTTGCGCCGGTTTTCGGCCTTTTTGCGGAATTGTCAACTTTAAGGTACAATAAAAAATAATTGCCATTATGGTGACCTAGTAGTGTTAATGTTAATTTGTAGCTTATATAATGTAGTTTTTATTTTTATAATTCATTGATGCTACAAAAGAAATATTTTTTTGTAATAATTTTTGATGTGAAAAATATGCAAAACGCTAGTTTTCGGCCCTAAATTTTAGATTTCAGCCTACAAGAATTTTAGTTTTCGGCCACTGTATTAGAAGAGGTAGTACAAACTTAAAAGTGTTTTTGTAAAATCAGAAAATGGCGAAACGGTTTCGGAAATCGGTGCATTTAATTTCTTCAATCAGTGCTAGCGATCTTTTAACCGTAACATTATTTTTTTCTTTTTGGGGTGGTTTTGATATAAAATAATAACCATGATTAATTATTTTTCTTTGAATCATAATCTAATAATAAAATCTTTTAAATACAGCAATCAAATTTTCTCATTTACGAGTATTTTGTACTTCCTCATATTTGAATTCAACAAAATCTGTTACCATCTCATATCATCGGTACATCTCAAATACATTTGGTGCAAAAGTCACATCCTATATTTTTTCTTCTGTATCGTTTATTAAATTATTATGACACAAGGCGCAATTTACTCTTACTCTTTTCTCCTTCATAGAATTCTTGGATTTAGCGACTTTTCGTATTTGAACTTAAGTACCTACTCTTTAATTTTTCTTTCTATTCTTTTCTTTTTCAAAATTTCATAGTTTTTACTTCTCTATTTTAACAAAAAAATTTTTTGAGTTTTTTTTTAGATAAAATTGCTGCAGACGAAGGTGCACGTGTATTGTTAACAGTTATTTTTTACGGGGTACGGTTTATTTAAATGTTTTTTCAATTGCAGATACAGAGATCTGTATTCTTTATTTAATAGCACTGAAACCAATGTTCCACTAGTTTGTAGAGGTGCACTAGTCTGTTTTGTTGGAATATCAACCCACACATTTTCTAAAGTTTCAGAGATTTTGTTTGTTATCATCGGTGTTTATAGTGGAATCATCGTGGTCATTGTCAGTACTGTTGTCGTTGGTAGGCTTATTTGAATTACAAGAACATCGTATAACGATACTAAGGAACCAATATCCAAATAACTTCCTGACAAATGCAATTTGGATATTTTGTTATCGATTAACGATTCTAATGCATCGGTAGATGAATAAATAGTTACCAGAACATCGTGACTTGGAATACTTTTATCTTGGTCCGTGTTGCACAGACTCTCTGGAGACTGAAATGGACTTGCGTCTTGTTGCTCAGTTGCAGAACTAAGTCTGCGGTGGCCTGTCTGTGTGGAACAATATTGATCTGAGAAGACTTTTGTTTCAATTTTCTTATCTCATTCAGTATAATAGCAACTTTTATGTTTTTTCTGCCAAAGTTGATTTAAAATGTTTCTAAACTTTTCTTGTGGAAACTAGGTCTATACTAGGATAAAGTGCAGTTATTTACAAATGCATTAAACTTCATTTCGTACGATAATATTTACTAAAACCGTTATTAAATCAAATTTACTGCATCACCTCGTGCCAAAGGCCGAAATCTAGGCCCGGCCGGCCTACCGGCGCATCGACCCTACTACACTATATAATACTAAAATCGACTAAACTATTTACTTCTAACTTTTTACCCGCGGCTTCGCTCGCGTGGGCTTGAATTTAGATCGATAGACATCGATAATACTATTTCGTACTAAAATTAGCAAAACTGATTCACTTGTAAAGACACGTCGGTATCAGTGTTTATATTGACAATATTATAGGCCACAGAAACACATAAGTTAGTTTATCAGAATCACATAAATATCATACGTCAAGCAATACTTTTTTTTTAAATCGGGCACGTCTTCCTATGATTATTTACGGAAAATTGTCCTGGAACCGGAAATGTGTTACTAACATAATATTCATTATAAAGTTGATATAGTCTTGATACAATAAGGTTTATGTAAGGTTTTCATGGTCTTTATTAATATTGATTAGCACCACATGCCAGTAATTTTTACGTTCCAGTAGACTTCAAAATTTCGTAAATGTAGTTCAATTCACGGAGAACTTGTGAAAAGAACTAAATTCATGAACAAGAGTAGAAATCTACATACGAGTAATATGGGCAGCAGCATCTTTCTAATTATAGCTCAAAATATTAAAAATATGCAGTTAGGAGTGGCAACTGTGGCAAATATCTAACTTTATTAACTATTGGAAATACAATTGATGAACGGGAGTAGAAATAATGTATTAGCCAAGGGCGAAAAAGAAACCACAACCCGATTTCATCCCGCGGGAGTCTTAAGAGGCGACAGACGGAAACTGAAACAGCATGAGAAAGAGCTGCGGTTGCTGACCCGCTTGCCAGGCGTAAATGCTACTGCAAATAATCGGTCTATTTGTCATACAATGGGGGAAGCCTATGATCAGCAGTGGAAAGCCCTATTAAAAGTAAAAAGTAGCAGCCTAAATACATCCCACTACTGGGCACAGGCCACAGTGAGTTTTAGGTCAAAAAGGAGTTGTTTATGACTGAAAATATGAAAGCTATCTTAATATATGACAAACTGCTCTATAAATCTAATTAAAATTAAAAGCGCTGCATCAACGGTATTACGAACTATTTCCATCAGTTATGGATAAAAATTAATTTTCAATTACTTATATCAGTCTTGATACAAAAACAAATTGTATCAAGACCGATATAACAACATATTCAACTAAAGACCTTCTCTCTTATTCAAAGTTTTGTTAATAATTTTGCTAAAATTGACAATTATGATAAAACATGCAGACAGTGGCCACAGGTCTATACCGGCCTGACAATTTTTGATGCTGCAACAATAAGTACATATTTAATGGAATTGTATTAAATTAGGCCAGTTATGTACTTATTATTAGTTTATTTAGCAGTAAGTAGATGGCGCTATTATTATATTAAAACTATGGCAACCAAAACTTTACCCTCTAGTACTCAGACTCAATAAGTTGAGGTGCGACTGGAGTGGTTCTATCGCACAACAAAACCGCTAACATAGTAATAATACATAAATTTGGCATAAAGTGATCTAGAATCTATTAATAATTCTGCTTTTATCAAATATACGCAAATCAAAATATAAATCAAATAAACGCTAGCGGTGTGTAATCACATTATTATACAGTTTAACAATAACTTGCAATGTCGTGTTTAGTTGTTAATATCGTCAAACAATCTCTATTCATTAATTTGGTCAAGTTATATCATGATATAGTCAACAAAAACTGTTAAATTTTATGAAATATCGGCATTTCACTTTCAATAATCGATTAATTTATCATATTATAAATTCTTAGATCTGACCACATATATAACACTCTTTTTATTTAAACTATAAGGATAGTAAAAGTTTTGTACATACTAATTGTAATTTTTATCAGTTTATTTATAAATAAAAAACTAATACCTACTAAAACTTTTTGTAGATTAGAAATTAAACTTAGAAACATTTTTAATTTTATGATTTTCGATAGATGTCACTATTTACGTTGTAATTAGTTACTATAAAAATTATTTATATATACTAAAATGAAATAACAAAAACTAAAAAATGTAGATTAGAATTTTCAAATCAATAATGAATTTATTTAAATAACTTTATACATGCAAATGTTGCAAAATGTCACTACTTTTTGTATTTTACGTTAGATGGCATGTCTTGAAAAAGTGAATACAACAATAATATCGTAGATAGTAGGTGTAGTTACATTTATTATACAACGGTTAAAACTAATTTTGGGCTTTATTTATAAATACTTTATTTATTTTAATAAAACACATCAATCGTATAAAATAGAAATTTACATCTAAAGGAAGAAAAATACTTAACCCTCCTTTTTTGAAGTTCCTTAATCGGATAAAAGTGACCTAAGGTCCCTAATTACCTATACACAAAATTTCATGGAAATCTGTTCGGTAGTTTTTGTGTGAATCTTGAATACACAGCCAGACAGATAAAAATTCTAAAAACCACGAATTTGGCTTCAGTGCCCTTTATTTAGTCCCGTGGACTTGTTTTTTCCAGAAAATATTGAAATTACAGACACGACTTTTCTACAGATTTATTATATGTATCCATCGATCACTAATAAAAAACATGTATGGATAATATCTACTGTCTAAATGGCGTCAATAAAGCAACGCCCTATTGACCCTTTATTATTTGACTGACCGTTTTGGAGCTATCGTATCACAAAGCCAGGCTGTAGTTTTGAGTTATAAGAAAGTAACCTTACTAACCTGGTGAACATATCTGGGGCACGGCAGTGCCGGGGGGGGGGGCAGTATCCCCGCCAAGTCGAGCAACAAAGTGGCACGGCCGTACCATCCTTTTCTCGAGCAGTTGAGGCCATTTTTGACCCCTTATAACTTCGTTGTGGATTGACTTGGCAATCGCACTAAACAATCGAATTCAATATATGTATTTCTTGTGAGATACATTGTGTTTTCGTGCGATGGCCCAAGTCAACTTATTTATTTAAAACATAAAAGATTTTTAATATTGATATGGTCACTATAAGATGTTGTTACGTCGGCTAATTACGTAATAAAATAAGACAGAAGGACCCTTAAGTAGGGACTGAAAAAATTAACCGACTTGGTATTACATGGATCTCACAACTGTTTACGGGAAGAACTGAGTTGCGAGACTTGGTTTTTTTTACAAGTTATGTTTTTGATGGCATTACCCTTACGTACTAGGGCTGAGGTAGGTAGCTCTGGGGGCTAATTAACAGAATATAACAGAAAGATAGGAATTTTCATTCGGCCAACCAAGTATGAAAATGAATTAAAAACATAAAATCAATGTTATATGTATGATAATGTTCCCATCTCTGGGCTGGGGCTCCCCAGTACCAGCTATTTCCACTTGACCGCATCCAGCGCAGAGCGGCTCGACTCGTCGACGACCGAGTGCTTTCCGATCGGCTCGATTCACTGGCGCTGCGAAGGGATGTTGCATCTCTTTGCGTATTTTCTATCGCATCTACCATGGGGAGTGCTCTGAGGAATTGTTCGGATTAATCCCAGCCGCCAAATTTCGTGAACGCACTACACGTCAAACGTCCCGATACCATCCACACCATCTGGATGCTTGGCGGTCCACCACTGTACGTTTCAAAAGGAGTTTTCTTCCGCGTACAACCTCTCTGTGGAATAGTTTACCACCGGCGATTTTTTCCGGACCGATACGAAAATGACCTTCAAGAAAAGAGAAGCTCCTTTCTAAAGGGCCGGCAACGCACCTGCAATTCTCCTGGTGTTGCGGTTGATCATGGACGTCGGTAGTCACTTAACATCAGGTGAGCCGCATGCTCGTTTGCCCCCTCTTCTATAAAAAATACCGCTAAGTTCTTCATCCGTCTGCTATATTATAGCCGATTTACACTTCGACAAATAGCAAGTTTAGTTCAGGATAGTTAACAGTAAACGGTTATATATAAAAAAAAAATCTTTCAGGTGATGGAAATAATCAACGCACCGTCTCGGCAACGGGGCCGAGTGATCGAGTTCAACGAACTCCTCTACGGCTACACGCGGCTGCAGCCGCTGCACGGTGTGGACCACGTCTTGGACCTGCTGCTCAAGTACAAACGTTACCGAGGCCGTAAGATGACGGCTGCTGTCAGGCGTCATGCCTATCTGCAGCAAACATTTACGAGTAAGTGTTAAGAGAATCATAACCGTTATCATCGTCTCGTGCAAACCGCCACAGGTCCACTGTAAGAACAGACAGTCAAAGCCTGTCACAAAGCACTTTGCCACCTGTAACTTTCACTATTTCACCGTACCACATTTTACCTTGTAGTTGCGTAAGAATATCCAAGAGTTTTTTTTATATACGACTATAAAACCCATAATAGTGTCTTCAATGGCGACAGCTAAGAGTATATACGTCAAGCATTTCAAACTCTCTGCACTTCGGCCTAACTCTAAGGCTCGAGAGGCAGAAGAATGTGAATACTCTTATATAATTATTATGTATTTAATGTTACATTATCGAACATAATAACTTCATATTTTTGGGCATAGGCCTCCTTTCTTTTATGTGAAGGTATTTGGTGCAGCTGGATTGGGCATATCATCTCTTGGGTGTCGTAAGAGGCAGCAGACGGAATCAAATGAGGAGATGGACATCAGCGTCTTTCGAATAACGACTCAAAATAAAAAAAATATATTGTTCGCAACCCGCTTGCTAAGCGTAGCAACTATGACATACGAGTATATCTCCAATTAGCCAATGCCATAGATTGGGGAATTTGTTCAGCAGTGGACTTAAATATACTGCAACGGGTAACGGGTGTATTGCACAAGCTCATCACTTCATATATAGTAAGTTGGCTTAACTGTAGTAAGTGAGGGCAATACGGTCATCCAGTTAATGTGGTCACTTTCTTATAACTCGAAAACGACAGTCTTTTTGCATAGAAGGCTGTGATACGATAGCTGTCCATCAGTCAATCAAATAAAAAAGGGTCAAAAGGGGGCTGCTTTATCGACGCCATTTTGACAGTTTATATTATAGTAAATAGTTTATATAGTCGATTTTAGTATTTTGTAGTGTAGTAATTTTTTTAAGTCGATTTTTCGAAATGTTCCTAATTATAGTATACGACTATGAGTTTTGTCACTATCCTCCTCCTAGTTTTGGTTTTATTGGGCGGCAAAGCCTAAGGTGACTAGATTACCCTCGTGTGCCTTAGGTTAAACAGGACTAACATTCAGAGGTGAACTACTCCTTGGAAAAGCCGATACTGAGGATATGCATCAGTACGTGTAGTGTGTATTGCGTATTGCTAGTCATTGTCCTTTCCCAAGTTATGAGGACGTGTTGTTAACGGCAAGCTTGGGCGGATTTTGTCTTTCTATATATAAAATTGACGTGAGGAAAGGACTCAACAGTCTGATGATTTCTTATATTTACTGAACACTACACATTTAAATAATACTAATTTTTACGCATTTTATCGCGTATATTTACATATATATAACTTTTACGGCACCCGATAATATCTATAAAAACTTGTATTATTTAAAAGTCAATCTGATCTTAAGTGGCTACATGGCTGGTTCATACACACCTGCAGCTAACTTCCAACAAATTAGTTACGGATGCGTTGTCACCTCTGAGGACTAAGATGGTATGCCTCGCAGTCCGTAATTATACTGGTTCTCTATATAATGGAGGGCAGATAGTGTCTGCCAACCTCTTCGAGTAACAGGCATGATAGTTTATGTATGTATGTTTGTATGTGAGTAAGGCCATAGATTTTGCCACTTAGTAACATAGAGTAACATAGACACTTCCATGTTACGATAACATAGAAGTAACGTGATTAAAACTTTTAGAAAAGGTTGAAAATTTTTGTTAGTTACTCTACACGATTGAACTTTTAGAAAAAGGTTGATATTTTTTATAAGGTTCCTATGTCAACAAAAAAATATATTTAATAAATTACAATATGCATAAACCTTTACAACAGTAAAATGTTACGAAACATACGAATCAACGTTAAGATTGGTAAAGTTATAAGCCTATAGTACAAACAGAATTAGTGTCAGTGCTTGAGTCTTCAAATCAACACAATTTTTAGAAATATTTAGTAGTATTTTAGTTAGAAGTTAAATTCAAATGAATCTTAAATATAATATTCACTTAGTATGTGCAGACGAAATCTGGATAGATTTTTAAGCCTTATTTATTATTTTTTATATATTATATTATAATATATATATTATATATATATATTATAATATTAAAAAATTCTTAGTAGAAAAAAAAATGTCCTAGTACCAATCACCAATAAATCTAGTGCTTTTTTTACAATATAAGCTTACAATAAAGTACATAATATTTTGTACAATTAATTAAAAAGATTATTTTGAAAACTGCTTGGTACGGTTCGGATTCGAAGGGATTAAGTTAGTTTTAACCACAAATTCATTAATATTTTAATAATAATCATGTTTATACGATTTTAGCTAAGTAAAATTTAAGTTTGGTAAGAAGAGTTTTTATAAGTATAGTTTTTGTTAACGTTTTACATTTTTTGTAGGTACCGAGATAAGAGAATTGCCTATAGGCGAGTCCCCACCTGCCGAAGATCCAGCTATATTGGAGAAAATTGAAGGCATCGTGAAAGATTATGAGGATTTCGATGAGTCCGATCAACAGCAGGCGAGCTTCTTGGATTTCGGTAAACTGAATGTACGAGGTGCATTTGAAAGTGGACTTTTGAAAATACATAACAACCTACCCAAAGTACTGCAGTGGAACGATGAAGAATATGAGTACCCTCTCTATGATAGAAGAATCAATTTCATAATGCCCTTATCAGGACGACAGGAGACCTTCGGTCGATTTATGAAAAACTACGAAGACATTGTTTTAAAATCCGACGAAGCTGTCTCTCTGATTATTGTGTTGTATTTAGACAGCAAAAACCCTTTAGATTACGTTAATACCCAATCTCTTGTCACATATTATAAGGATATGTATGGAAAAGATATGAGAATAATGCAAATGGGATCTACAACCTTCTCAAGAGGCGCAGCTCTTACTGAGGGTCTGAAAGCTTGTGAAGATGACGATTTAATCTTCTTTATTGATGTAGACATGATGTTTAATCATATAACGCTAAGAAGAATCCGAATTAATACAGTAAAATATACTCAAGTCTACTTTCCCATAGTGTTTAGCGAGTACAACCCCGATGTGGTGAATGGTGACGATTATAACAAATTCAAAGACGAAATACTAGTAACTAACGATGATATAGGAAAGTTTGTTGACGAAGAAGAACAGGAACCAAAAACGGAGAGGGAGTTAGCTAATTTGAAGTACAGTGAAGAAATTAACGATGATAATGGTTACTTTAGGCAATATGGTTTTGGTATTTTAAGTATATACAAATGTGATTTTATGCGAGTGGGTGGTTTCGATTTGAACATTAAGGGATGGGGTCTGGAAGATGTGCAGTTGTTTGAGACTTTGATTAAATCAAATCTAACAGTGTATAGGACAGCGGACGATAGTTTGGTGCATAAGTTCCATTCGGTTGACTGTGATAAGAATTTGGAAAAGAGTCAGTTTCTCATGTGCCTTGGTACCAAAGCATCCACGTATGGTAGCGACAAGCACATGACTTATTACATGTTAAATCATCCCGAAGTTTTGTGGCCTCAGGGTGCAGAAACGGTCAATGAAGAAAAGGCGGAGCAAGGAGAGGGTGGAAATAAGAAAGATGAAAAAGAGAAAGGTGCTAGCTAATAGTTATAACAGGGTCTAAGTAAACTAGAATGTGGTGTCGAATAACTAACGCAGATTACAGCAAAATTCAGCAGACTGTATAAAGTCAGCAATACTGTATTTCCTGTATAGGTAGTCAGGAAATACAGTTTAAGAGAAATTTCATCCGAGCGCGCTGCATATATACGTAGTTTGATCCTATTTTGAAAGCAAGAATCAGAAAATTTTGTTATTGTTTCTCGTTAATGTATCAGTTTAAAAATATGTGTATATTTTTAAAGAAGCAAGGTATAAACAAAATTTATGATTTTTAATCAAATACGGTGAATTTTATGCTAGTTGTTAAGGATAATAAATTTATGAATTTTTAACTATTCGAAAAAGCCACAGACTTAGAAAACACATTGAATAAAATAATTATTCAAAATAGAAAATATATTTGTAATATATGATTAACAAAAATAAATATTTGGAAAAATCAGTAGTCTCGCTTAGCATCCACATCCACGCTCGCGATATGATCGAAAGAGACAGCAATATACTTCAGGCAGCCGCGCCATCTAGGGGAAATTTCTCTTAAATGTAAAATAGACTATTTTTACTAAATATTTCTTAAGATAAGTATTCTATTTTAGTTTTTGGTCAGCAACAAAATTGTTATGTTTATAATTATATTTTTTGGATTGTAATTATTTAATATTGTAAACGCTTTCCAATAAAAACAATTATCTAGTGAAATGAAAGCGATATTTCGGTTACCTTACAGCGACAATAATATTATAGTTAGATATTTTACGGATATCCGAGTGTTTGTTTTACTGTACAGTTTAATTTGCATAATGTTTATTTATTGACTATGTAAATTAATTTTGAGTAGATAGTATCGGGTAGCGTATAGTGATCCATATTTTTGGATGCATTTATAAATATTTAGATATACATACATAATATTATACATATTTTAAACCGTAAATGTTCCTAATGATCAGATTTCATTTGAATAGATGAATTCAATACCTAAAGTTTAATTTAATTTAATATCGGGTTTCGCTTTCTAGCAGTGGGAGATATAATGTGGAATTTACCTAATTTGCTTCAGGGATTGAAAAACGGTTCCAAATTTCCTTACAATTCGTGATTTAGCTTGAATAGAAATAAAGGTCTAACAATGCAGTACGGCTCGAGTTCTGATTCCGGTTGAAGTATTGGTTTTAAGATATGTACCGGTTCCGAAATATCAAAATTGAAAAAAATATCCTTTAATCCATTTGTATTACATAAAATCAAACAAGTTAGATCCTGTTTTTGTGTTTAGGCAGTATGCTTCGTATTTAGGCATTTTTTATATCTCACTAGAACAATATACGTTGTGTCGTGAACATGAAAAAGATAACAACAAACTTAAGTAAAATAAAAATAAGTGATCAAATTAACATTTTTATTACTATACAACAGTTTTCTAAAAGTTAATTAAAGTAATAAATGTCAAAAAAATACTCATAAAAACAAAAAGGAAAAGTCAGAAATTCAGAGGTAATTTTTACATAGTATTTAATTTAAAAAAAAAGGTAGCTGTACTATCATAGCACCTTGTCGTCGTGGATACAGTAATAATATTTCTATAACGGCAGTTTTTTTTATTATTCTTAACATTTGTATACTTTTTTTTTTCAATTTTAAATGCAATGTGAAGTTCATTAAACAATTTATCCGACTGATATAGGGCACTGTGCCTTGCGTGTCAGCCTTAATATAAAGACGCTATTTAGGTCTTTGCATCTGGTATTTAAACGAGCTTGTCTTTCAATTTCAGATTCGTATGCCTTAAGTTTTTCTTTAAACCACTAAGCAGGATCATGACATAAAGGCATGGCACCGTTAATATTTGTAATTTTATAAAGTGATCCCTGCATGATATCCACTGAGGTATACGTACAAGGTCCTTATTGTTCGCTTCTGTGCAACAAACTCTTTATGGATATTATATTCATAGCTATTTCCTTAGGCTTAGCTTAAGTTATTGTTCTTGTGTCAGAACCACTGACAACCGGTTAAATACCGGTATTTAAGAACTTTTTCAATCCCTGATTTGCTTATGTTAAATTCAGTTTGTTTTGGCACATTATTTTATTTTACGTCTTATATTTATTGCTAATAATTGTCAAGGCCTTGCGTTAACGTTAAGAGGCATATACTTAAAAAAAATATTGCGGAGAAATCAGTGGTCAAAAATTAAGTCATGAAATTCTGGTGTTATCTGTATAGTCTGTATTTGTAAACTTTTTTTTGTGATTTCCACCAGAGATTACACCGACCCTGATGGCTGGTTATTAACTAATGTTTTACTGAGTCACATTTGTTCCTTTTGTCACAAATTAAAACTTTAATTTTATATTATCAGGGACGAGAAATTTCTGTTTATACTTACTATACCTTTCTTTTCGCGATTTGGTGTTCATATAATTTGGATTCCAATTTTAAATGTTTAAATCTTTTGAATGCTATGTAATATGACTTTTAAAGTTATAATATGTGAAGTGTTATTTCATTCTGTATTATTTTCCTAAAACAAAATACTAGTGGATAAATAGCTTATTGACATTTTCTGTGGTGTTCGTAAACACTTTAAACGCTATTTATTTTATTCAAACGTTAGTTTCTATATTTGTCTAAACTTTTTAATTCCTAGGTGCCAAATAAAAGCTTAAGCTAATGTTACTATCAAAGCGAATATGACAATAAATGCTTAGGAAATACTCAGAGTAAAATGGGTTGTGGAAAATTGCATATAACTAATAAGAAGATTGGTTTCTAGAAATTGTAAGGAATAAGGCAGTAATTACTTATAATGAGTGGTTGATGCGAGAATTTGTCGATATAATATTTTAAGAAAAAGAAGCTGTCGTAAAATGTTTCGATGAGAAATACTGTTACCACAGACCAACAAATAGACAAAGATAGAGCGCCGCATATGTTTCTGGTGACGCTAAAATCATGTTCAACTTCTTGACAAACACTTATGAAAACATCTTTTTTTAAACCCCGATAAAAATAGTCTTAAGCTTGTAGTTTATAACGGTGTATCTGTGTCTGTCTGTGGCATTATAGCCTCTGAACGGATGTTCAATTAAGTTTTTTTTTCGTTTGAAAGGCGTCGTCTTAATCGACAGTGTTCTTAGCTATGTTTCAAGAAGATCTTTTCAGTCGTTTGAAGATCATCACTTCTTTTTATTTCGTGGTTTTTAAATTTTTTATTTCTTTTTTAACAACCAGTGAAGTTCTATAACTAGATACACATATCTGTCTGTAACCAGTTGTAGAACTTAAGGTATACCTACAAAATTTGGTGGTGTTTCTATTTCACTTTCTATTTTTTTAAGTTTTATAGGTTACGAACCAAATTTTTCGTATATGATTTTTGACTATATGAATTTCATAAAAGGAAAACGCGATAACATGTAATTTCCTCGATAGACAAAAATTGCAAATTAGGCTCTAATTAGTTCCATTTCTCCATGACACACCAATATTTTTAGGAATAAGTTCATGAAATTATTTTTAAGGCAAGGTAAATAATCACATCTAAGTTCTCATAAACCATTTTTTTAATCCATAACAAAGTTGGCGCTTACTTAGCTTATTTCCGAGCGCGTACTCGGTATAGTTATCTCATAATTTCCGTATTATGAAGTCATTGCATCACTTTTATTTTGACATTCCCTCAGTCGTCCGTGAGCTTCACCGACTAAGCCACGCCCCCAAAACTACGATTCATTTTCAAGGTATCCTCTTAACTGGCAATACATATAATATAACCATGTTGGTTGTAAATCATTTTAGATGCGTATGTGCGTGAGTGCGTGTTCATACAATCAGTTGAGGGTGATTTTAACTTGGTTTGAGCGTCACCTGAAACGTATGAAGTGCTACTTCTATGCGTCTATCTTTCTGTTAATTGAGGCTGATTATAAATAAATTATAACGAAAAAAAGCGATACCTAAAAACTCCATTAGTCGCTAAAAAGTGCGACAAGCAATCATTAATATGAATTAGATTCTTCATGATTGCAATGACGTTTATATTAGACTTCTAGATAAAGTTTCCGTATTTTAGTTATCAAGGTATGTATCTATCACTGAATCAATTTGTTTTAGCAGTGTACCTGCAATAATGTCCAATTTATTCTTAAATCTTGGGCCAAGAGTTGAGATTTCATTTGTTGTCTTAATTTCTATATTTAACCTTTTTAACGTGGTAGACCCACACTGCAACTATATTATTATGGTTGCGGCACCAATGGTTCGGCTTGACCGTGGTAGGACCACGCTCTCACAGAATACCAGCTTAATGCTACCGTGTTTCGTAATGCGAGTGTAGAGATTTGACCATAGTATTAACCGGAGGCCCTTTTTACTTGTAACGAGGCATTCCATCGTAGTCCTCAGGGGTGACACATCTGCATTTTGAATCTTAATATAGGATAAATGTAAATGTTTATGGGTTACATCAGATGGACTGTGTGCCCGTTTGTCACTCTTATTGTATATAAAAAAAACTTCGAATTTCGTCTTTCGAATCGATTGCTCAACTATATTTTCCATAGTGCTTAATTTAGTGCCTTAAATTCTTTTTAACCTTTACTTAGATATTATTTCTTAGACCTCGCAATTACATAGTAAACGGTACGTGTTCAAATCGCGGAATATTAAAAGGTATGGATATAATCTATTTATTTAAGTAAACGTTTACCTTTATTACTTGCGTTTGACATATCCTAGCCTTAAGTTTTAGATAAGAATAGTAATTATGTTCGTAATATTTACACGTAAGTGATTTTTAGTTAAATTTATGTAATTAAAATTTTCGTTTATGTTTTTGTGAATATAGATAAAATATTAAAATGCATAATATTTAAAAGTTGATGCTAGACGTTCCATGATGTATTTATACTAAGTTAAAAAAAACAAAAAACATATTCTATTTGTACAATTATTAATTACATCATTAAGACCGTACATTC